AAAGACAGCAGTTTTTCTTGGACTATAAAAAAAGACCTAGTGTCCTCCCCACAGCAGCTGTGTGAGCCATGTTAGTGGACAGGACTCCCAGGGATCCTGCAGTGTTACCTGTAGATAAATATTTGGAAGTAGAGTGGCTAGAAGTATGATCAAAAACAACTGATGCTTTGTGGTTATTACAAGTGCATTTGTTCAGGTCCAGTAAACGGGCACTTAAAACTACAAAAGGCAAATGAAAGATGCACTTATTGTAAGAGTTGCTCCTTCTATGATACTCTCTACCCGCCTTCCCTGAGCTTCTAGTTACTGTGTAACACCACAGGTGCTTGTTTAAACTCTTACTCTAAGTTTCTGTAAAAAAACAAACAAAAACATTCCTGGTAGAGCTGGGGCAAAATTTTCCATAGAAATAAAAAAAGTAATGAGTAATGAGAAGCTTAGTATGATTTATTGTTTGTATGGCTGTAAAAATGCAGAATTGGTATATGTTTGCATTTTGAACGTTTATAAAGTCTTAGAAAATTCCTCTGATGTCCTAAGTTTTCATGTATAATAATGTCTTGTTGGTTGACAAATTAAAGGTCTCATGCTCAGTGACCTTGGCTGCCTGTCTGCAGAAGCATCTGATAAGCTCCTGCAAAATTCAAGGCCTGCTTGCTAACTAAAATTTCTTGAAACAATGTAGGTAGTTTCACAATACTGAGTCCCTCTGATAGTCAAAGTAAAACTGCTGCCTTTTGCAAAGCAAAAAAAATATGTTCTCGATAGAAAAATTGTAACTCCTATAAAAGCTGAGCATTTTTTTAAGGTAAAAGAAGTAACACTACAGGGTACTTTGGCCTCACCTGTCCTTAAACCATTGAATCTATTCTGATTTTAACCCTCTCCTCCTGAAGGCCTGTAAGAATGCAATGATATTTTGGGAAAAAGGACAGTTGAGATCCTATAGGCTGACTAGCCAGGTATAGAACTGTGGTGGGCAGTAGCGGGCTGGATGCAGAGGTATCTGGTAAGGAGAGGGAAAAATGGTTGTCGACAACCACCCTTGAAATCCCTATGAGTTGCACTGCTAGAGATAAGAGATGGAGCAACTGTAAATCTAAAAATAAATATTCCATGGTTGTTTCTCACCTTTATGTGGTATTGAGAGCAAAATTTTTTCCCTCAGCCTGATATGCTGGTATGAATCTGTGATCTCAGCTTCTTGGGAGGCTGAGGTGGAAGGATCACTTGAGCCCAAGAATTCAGGCCCAGCCTGGGCAACATAGCAAGACCCTGTCTAAAGAAAAAAAAGGCTTCCTTCTGATCAGTGGCAAAGACCACAAATCAAATATACTTTGGTAAATCAAATAAGCTAGAAATGAGAGAAAACCTCATTGAAATGACAAAGGCTTGGCTTGTCTGACCAGCAAATGAAAGAGCCATGTCAGTTTTGAAGAATGGAAAGGAATGGAGGGTGGGGGATTTAGCTCAGTGGTTCTGGCACCTGCCCCGCAAGTGCAAGGTCCCAAATTCGATCCCCGGTACCAAAAAAAAAAAGAAGAAAAAGGGGAATGGAAATCAGTCACCTAAAGACTCCATGCTTCAAGTCATCCTGGCCACACACACATTGGTCAATAGCATTGGCTTGGTAGAAAACCGTTACAATCAGTCAGGTTTGTCACATTTCCATTATGGAAATTCTATCAGGCCACAAAAGACGACAAAACTTAAAAATCCTAACTGTAGTAGGTAAGTATCCCTGGACAAATTTAGCATTTACCATGGATAAATAGGAGGCCCAAGAAGACCTAGTTTCCTTGCTAAAATTCATGCTGCACAATTTAGTGTTCATGCAACACTGTCAATATTTACTCAGATCCCACCCCCTTCAAGACAAAACAGGACTAGAGCACAAACTGCAGTTACTTCCTTTCTAAGAGGGGCTGGAGATCTTATACACTGGCCGAGGTCTGTTGAGCACTTGACAGCAACCAGTTTCAGAACTTCAACTCTTTTGAACACTGGGATGCAAGCCACTGTGATGCTAGGAAGCATGCATGGGAAGAGTTAAATGATGCTCTCTAAAAATTTACATCATTCTATTTCCCAGAGACTGTGACAGTGTTACATGGCAAAAACTAAGATGTGATTAAGAAGTTCTGAAATGGGAAGATAATATTAGATTATCCAGGTGGGCCAAATGTAATCACAAGAGCTAATGCAATCCTTAAAAGAGGGAGGCAGAGTAAAAGATGGGAAAAGATGCTATGGTACTGACTTTAAAGATAGGGACCACAAGCCAAGGAATACAGGTGGCTTCTAGAATTTAGAAAAGGCAAGGAAATACATTCTTCCTTGACATCTCCAGAAGGCATATATCCTTGGCAACATCTTTAGATTTCTGATCTTCAGAGCTGTAAAATAGTATATTGTTTTGAGCTACAAAGTTTTTTAGAGTAGCAATAGGAAATATGGCCCCAAAATTACTTTATCTAGAATTTGGAAATAAATCTCAAATTGGACAGTGGAGTGGGAAATGGAGGTCAATGTACTAATCCAGGACTAATAGAGGCATAGGTGCTTAAAGAAACTATATAATCTTACACTAGCCCTGTATATCTGGTGAAAAATGTCAAGGATACGTGACAATTTACTGTGGACTACCATAAACTTAGCGCTTCCTCCCTTTGCTTCCAAATATGATCATGATGATAGTGTATGTGCAGACTGTTGGATATTTATGATGCCTTCTTCAGCACCTCACTGCATCTAGATGACCAAAGCCAATTTGCCTTCTGTGGGTCAGATTAAGATATGTTTACCGGGGGCCGGGGATTTAGCTCAGTGGCGCCACCGCCTACCTCGCAAGCACAAGGACCTAAGTTCGATCCCAGGTACCAAAAAGCAAAAAACAAAACAAACAAACAAAAAAAGATATGTTTACTGGGCTACAATAAGGCAACATAAACACTCCAGTAATTTTTAGGCTGAGACCTAGAAACAGACTGAAAAACCTCACCAGAAGTGTTTGGACCATTACATGAAGACGCTACTGTGATTGGAAGAGATAAGGACAATATACTACCTTAGGTAGATGGTCCAATATGAGGCATTAGGGCTGGATGAATTACCCTGATAACAATCAGTGGTAGCAACCCAAGTAATGTTTTTGGGAATCCTGTAGGTAGATGCCTAAAGATCCCTGAATCTATTATTTTTTAAACTGATGACCTTAAAACCTCCAGCAAATAAATGAACAAAAATGCTCAACAGTCAATGGCTTTGTTCAATATTTGAGGCACTTCATAATTCACATGAGGATCTTGATCAGCCTATTACATAAAGTAACTGAAAGTGTAGTAACCTTTGCATGGATTCCTGAATAACAATGAGCCCTAGAAACCACTCAGCAATCTGTGGAGCCTTCCACCTGGGCCAGTCAGCTCTAAGGAATACTTTGAGTTACAAGTGTCAGTGATTGACAGTTATGTAAACAGGGGCAGACAAAAAATGTAGTCATTAGGCAATGATACTTCCTGGGGTTTTGGACATAGCACTTGCCTGACATACTCACCTGATATATCCCATTTGAGGGACTAGTACTGGTTGTTATTGGGAACTGGTACTCAAAGAAACTAAAACAGTAATAGCAGGTGCTGTGACACCCTGATATCCCTAACATGAGATGAATCAGAAATGAGAACATCAGCAAAGTGAATGTTCACCAATGTCTAAGTTTATTTGCACTGCTATAATAAAACACCACAGACTACATAATTTGTAAAGAACAGAAATTTATTTTCTCATACTGAAGACTGGAAAAGTCCAAGATAAGGCATCAGCAGGTTTGGTTGTCTGTAAGAGTTGGATCCATCCTCTGGAGGGAAGGAATGCTGTATCTTCACATGACAGAAGACAGAAGAGCAAAACAGGATAAACTCCCTCTATGACCTTTTTTATAAAGGCATCTAATCCCATTCATCAGAGTAGAGCCCTCATGACTAAATCACCTCCCAAAGGCCCCACCTACCAATACTGTTTCAGAATTAAGTTTTAATTGAGTTTTGAAGGGGGAAAAACATTCAAACCACAGTACTCAAAGAGCAATTCTTAAATGGAAGTAGATGTCCAGAAAAAAAAATAAGCTAGGTATTACAGAGCTTCACAGTACAGTTACATCAAAAAATGGCTACTCATGCTCCCAGTGAGGTTATCTCAATATGTGGTCCATACCAGCACCTTAGGCTTTTTGGGGATTTAAGTTGCTGAGGTTCCCGACCTGGTTCAGACATGGATCAGCTAAATTCAAGGACAATGGAGCATACTGGATCACTGCTGCTGTGCAGCCCCAAAGAAAACTGCATACTCAACCATGCATGGAAAAAGGATCTCTGCTTAGTGGCACTGTTTCTATGTGGTTTGCCTGGATAGTATAACCTGGTACACTTTCACTGACTCGCATGCAGGAGCCAAGAGTAAGGCAATGTAGTGCCTGGAAGTAATCATGACTGGATCATATGAGACAGGATAATCAAACCTCAGCCTCTATGGAGATGAACTTTATGGCAGGAAATTATACAAGACCAATAATGTCTGTTTTTTGACTCACGTTAATGCCTATGAAAAAGGGCCCTTTAAAGATAAGCAAAAATGGACATAGCAAGGTGGTTAAATCTGCACTACCCATAAAAAGATACCTGGATACATCCATCTAGATAAAGTATCACATATGATAGTCTATCTATAGTTCAGGACTGGACTGAAAAATAAGACCTAGTGGTCTGCCAAATGCTTTTGGGCTAACAGCTACACAGCCAAGTAGCAAAAGGAACTTCAGGACATATAGTCAGAGGTATCAGTCCTGGAAAATCCTGGCAAATACACTATATAGCCTCCCTTCCTCTTGGGAGTTCTGCTGGACACTAACATCCATAGACAATTTTTCAGGTAATGGCATTCCCATACCTATTTATTTAGCAAATGGGTATTATACTGTTCAATGGCTCTTAGATGGCCTATGTTATATATTTGGATTTTCGATATTTTGACTGAACATTGATACTGATTTTATAGTAAAAGGTGAAAAATAGTACATAGCCTTTTAGACATTCATAGGACATTTTATTTTCCATATAGTCCTCAATCAGCTGATGCCACTGAATGACAGAACTGACTTTTTTCTGGTACTGGAGATGGAAACCAAGGCCTCCTGCATGCTAGGCAAAAGCTGTAGCACTGAGCTAAGATCCCAACTCAGAATGACCCTTAAAGGAAAAAATGAGAAGGGCTGGGATTTAGCTCAGTGGTTCCACCGCCTGCCTTGTAAGCTCAAGGTCCCGAGTTTGATTCCAGGTACCCCCCCCAAAAAAGAGAAAGAACTTGACAGCCAAGGCTCAGCTGTCTTAAGGCACCCCCTTAAGACAGGCCTAAAGAGCTTAAATACAGTAATTCCGCTGAAGAATACCTATTTAAATAAAATGTTTAATGATGAGGTTGAGGAGTAGGGAAGGAAACCCAGGATGACTGTAAGGAAATCCAAACCATGATTCATTCTTCTCACTGTATTTTTCACTTCCATACCCATTCCTGGGAAATAAGGCAACTAGAACATGCACAAAGCAAGAAGATGTGGGGTTGGGAGACTAAACTTGATGTTTCTTTGGTTGTTTGGCTATGCTTGCCGTATTTGATTGCTGAATTATAGATATTGCTGATAATGTTGATGATATATATGAGGTGACAACCCCTAAGATGGTCTGAGCATGGCCCATATATCAGGGCATAGAAAATATTCTAGGCCTATACAGGATGTATAAAGAAGACACTTCTGAACTGCACAGAATTGAGGTTAGAGATATGGTTTGGGTAAAGAGGCTTGAAAAAACGGTGAAGTAATTGCTGTGGAAGCTAGTCATACTGATCATGTGGCTATAGAAAGAAAACAACAACTCTGGATGATAGGAAGAGAACACTTGACCCTGGTCAAGAGTGGGGAGGGAGATGATTAATCTCTCTCGGCTTCAGTCCACAGGGCATCTAGCCAATTGAACAGACCATTGCCACCATCCACAGCTTAACTGCTAGCCAAGAAACATCTTCATCAAAGAACTCTCAGAAACCTCCCAACATCTGCTAACTACGGAAAGGAATGGCCTCCACTTGAAACAAAGAACAAGATTAACATTCTGGACACTGGTATGATTCTGTTTAGCTTTATCTTGTTATTAGTGGACTCTTTCCTATGTTTTTTCATATTTAACTGGCTTGACCACAAGTAGCTGAGGTCTATTCTTCAGATGCATTCAATTATTCCAGGAGGAGTTATAGTCATGGTTGCTCTTGCCCAATCTTGCCTAAAACAAACAGAAAAGATTGGATGAAAGCCTTAATTGGGGTATCTGAATGGGTGGTATAACAAAGAGTTTGACTCCATTTTTTAACAATGTTGACTGCTGACAGCTCTTAAACCCCTTCCCCATCTGCTCATACCTGAACAAGCTGATGACATGTGAGCAAATCCTCCTTTGATTCTCTGACCCATTAAGTAATAAATCAAAATGAGATTAAATCCTTGGAATTTACAAACTATCTTTAAGAAACTGAACCCCATGGAAACCCCTTCCATGTATATAGTTAATACAGCCCAATATAAATTAAAATAGGGCCTTTAAGAATTGAAACCATTATATAAGCCCTATTTAGAGAAGATGATTATCCCCACTGCATCTTTATTTATCAGTCTAATTAGCCTGTTCTTAAACCTGGGATGAACAAATGAGTATTCCTGATGGATCACCATATCCTTAATGTCATGGTCCCATCTATTAAGGCTTCTATGATTAATATTTTAGTATTATGGAAATTAACTTCATCCAATTGGCAACTGCTGAATATTTTGGTACTATAAATTAGGTCAATACATTCTGTTTAGTGCGCATTTGAACAGCCTCCCAGTCCCACTTTTCCTTCCCCTCCAAAGGGAAATGCTACATATGTTATCCAGATAGTATCTCAAAAACTCTTACATTTCATACAACCTTTGCAAATAAGTCCTTAACTGCATCTATTCTTCCAGGTGCACAGATATGAGATTACACTGATGAACATTCCTGCTAGGAGAATTCCTTAGAAATAGTCAGAACTTATAGTCATCCATCAGTATCCATGGAAGATTAGTTCTAGGATGCCCATTCCCCAGGCATCAAAATCCTTGGATGTTCAAGCCTCTTACATAAAATGGTATAGTATTTGCATATAATCTACACACATCCTCCCCTATACTTTAAAATCATCTCTACCATAATTATAATACATAATACAATACAGATGTCATGTAAATAACTATTATACTGTATTGTTTAGGGAATAACAACCAAAAAAGTCTGTAAATGATCAGTACAGATGGATTTTTAAAAAATATTACTGACTCATAGATGTGAGTCACGATACAGAACGTATGGATATGAAGGGCTGACTGTTTAAAAGGAAGCTCACAAAGAGTAGATGGCCAACTTGCCTTACAAATATCACAAGGCCTCACTACCTTATTTACATTCCTAAAAATTATTTGGTAAACGGAGAGCTGCTCTATACTTGACACTAAAAAAAAAAAAGATATACTGAGCTTCTTAGCACCCAAATCATTAAAATAAGTTCAACATCTTTTAGGCCTTTGGGGGTTCTGGAGGCAGCATATTCCTCACATAAATTTTGCTTTGGCCCATTCATGCCATTGCTTGCAAATAGGACCTTGAATGGAGCTCAACAAAAGACTACAAAACTTTTTTTTTTCAAATTACACTAGTCTAGGCATTCTTACTAATGCCTTCTCTCCTTAGATACTACCTCATGGAGAGGCTTTAGCAATCTTCTCTCCTGGTTCTTGATATCTTCGAACCACCCATGGTGGCCATTAGTTGCCTACTACATTCTTATGGAAGAAATTTCCCTCATAAGACTCATCTTTATGTCACTGGAGTGGCAGGTGCTGGCTGCACCCTGGAGTCTCCTGGAAAGAGGCTCCCATAGAACCTTGGCATGTGACCCTCCATTTCCAGCTAATTCTGCCTTGGATCTTGGAAGCAGCACACTATAAACCTGCCACAGCCACCAAAGTCTCTTTGCCACAGGATAGACCCAAACATGGTATACCACAATTGTAGGTAGGGATGGCCTCCCCCGTCCTCAGTCCTTTGCTGCAATCCATACTGCTGAATGAAGTAATTCCTTTCCCAGACCCCTTGGCTACCAAAGGACCCCTGTAAAATCAACTGAACAATAGCTACAGCTTGTGCACTCAATATACACATTTTCATAACCTCACATGATGTAGCTCAGTAGATTGTTACTTTCACCACTTAAAGAGGAGAGGATGTCTCTGATAAAGGACTGAACCCAAGGATCAGCACAATGGGCCAAGCTTCAGGCTATCATCTTAGCAGGGGAGGTTCTGGCTACCAGGCTTAATCATGACACTCCTATTGTCTTCAGAGTTCCAGATATGTTGACTGAGGCCAATGAGGTCATTTGCATTGTCAGAATACCTAATGCAGGGCTCTAGAACAAGATATTTGATGGAGCCTTCACCATCCTTACAAGTTTCAGGCTATATAGCTTACAGAGTACCATAATCACTTATTTAAACTTGTTAAATTCAATTAAAGAGACATGGTACATTTTAGTGGTCAAACATTGGGGTAGACTGTCCTAAAGAATCTATATTTATATAAATTTTGACATAAAATTGACAGCATTTAAGACTCACTGCTCCTTGTTTCCCTTAGGCCCTACATCTGGGCAAGCTAATAAAAACCGAGGATGCTTTCTCCTTTGATTTCTGATGGAGTTTCATACCATACAAGCCGCTAGCTATAAACTGGAACTCTTATCCTGGCCCCACAGTCCAACTATCATAAAACTCCCAGCCAGCCTCCTTTTCTTGCCTTCTCAAGACTTCTAGAACTGCTTTAGAAGTCTGACCTGTTCTCCCAAAAAGGCTTATGTAAGTAATAAACCTGTCAATATCCTAATAATATGTATTTGACATCATCAACCTTGCTATAAGAACCAATTTTTTTTTTTGGTACCAGGGATCAAACTCGGGTCCTTGTACCTGTGCAGCAGGCGGCAAAACCACTGAGCTAAATCCCCGGCTACCAGAACCAAATTTTATGTTGAGGTTCATTTTGTATCTTCAGAGTAGCTACAACAGGTGACCTGTCTGCCACTGCAACTAAAATGAGTCATGGTTAAATGCCTTGTGATTCTCCCAGAACATAAGATGAGAGGCTATAAGGCCATCTCCCACTCACTTCTCTATCTCTCCTGGGAGGCTGTCATGAACAATTTTCTCACCAGTTTCTGATGAGGCATGGAGTTTTCTATTCTGTGTCCTTCAGAACGGGGATACAAATATAAAACCACTCCCATGCAGCTTTGTCTTGACTCAGCAACAGAGTATTCCACAACTTGCATTACAATCACCCAGTTTTGTTTCTTCGTTGTCTCTTAGGGTATGTTGGACAAGGACCTGAGGCACTGACCCCTTTGGCTCATACTTTTCACTGTTAATATAAGTACTGAATTATCTAAATCCTTGCATCTTTACCAGTAGAATCAGTCAGACCTTGGCCTTGTATGTATGAGCTTGTTACTATATAATCCTTATTGCAATGTATTTCCCCCTAAACTAAAATAATGTAATTGACTAAATACTGAGGGCCTACTATGTCCTGCAATCATTTATATTTGGGAATCCTTCACTGAATTATCTAATGTAGCTGTGGGGCCAGTTTAGCAACTTATTTTTATGAAGCAAAGAAATTAGAAATAGGTTGGTACCGAAAATTTCTGAAAAATAAAACATAACTTATGGATAAAATATTTTTCTGAATAAACATAAATTAAAGCACAGACCAATCTTATAAGGCCTCACATTTCTTATTTTTCCAGTAAACAAATAAAAAAAACTCAGCAGTACGTTTTTCATAACTAGGAGATATGACAAGCCTTTATATAATAAATTTGCTATGAGCATCATAGGTGCCATGTTCCAGGATTTGTCAGATTCTGGGCAAAAGTGACAACCCAATTTGGGTCTCAGAACCAGAAGACCTCAGGAGTTTAGAAGGCAGAGGCATTTTGGCTAATAAGCATAATACAATTTTGATAAGAACTATGACATAACAATGCAATAAGGTAGTAGGAATGAACAAGAAGAGCTTCTCAGAAGCAGTAGTTTGCAAAGGTGTGAATGCTATGAATATCCCTATTTCATAGATGGGGAAACTGAAGATGAGAGAGGCAAAGTAACCTGGAAGAAGCCAGACAGCCTCTGGTCAGGCCAGTTGTGAGCCGTGGCCTATTTTAATTTACCACCACCATCCACAGTTTCCTTGGCTCTGCTTGCCTCCGAACTTTAAAATCTACTGAAGTCAGAATAGATTCAAATTATGAAACAATTTCCAGGGAGTTAAAAGTTTTTCTGATATATCCTGGGTCCTTCTCACAAGGAAACCAGCTATGAATGGGAATAAGCTCTAAGGTAAAACTTTCACTTCCCCTTTTTCAGGTAACAGTTAATTCTGGGCAAATGCTTAGAATTGAAATACACTTAGCATTTGAAGGGGCAACTTCAGTTTCAGCTTCACCTTCTTTAACAACTAGGAAGTGATTTTTCTGCCCTGGGAGGGACCTCCAATGCTGTTCTTACTTTCTGCCTGCTCCTTCTTAACCTACAAAAAAGTCAAGACTGACCTCCAGTCTGTGGATATGAGCATAGCCTCACTACCTCTAACCTAAGATATTTTAGCCTTTGCAGAATGAGTCTAAACAGTGCAGAACTGCTATGGGCAGGGAAATTAACTATTTACTTTCCTATCTCAGCTACTTCAAATATAACTTTAGCACACCAACAATGAACCCACTGAGAAAGAAATAAAAAATACCACTCACAAAAATTAAATACCTAGAAATTAACCTAACCAAGGAAGTAAAAGACCTCTACAATGAAAACCATAATACTGTGCAAAAAGAGAAGAGAATATCAGAAAATGGAAAGACATCCCCTGTTCCTGGATAGGCAGAACCAATACTATAAAAATGACCATATTAGCAAAATATATAGATTTAATGTAATTCCGATCAAAATACCAACAGCAGTCTTCACAGGACTAGAAAAAAAAAATCCTAAAATTCATGTGGAACCAGAAGAGACCCAAATAGAAAAAGCAATTCTAGGCAACAAGAGCAAAGCAGAAAATATCACAATTCCAGATGTCAAGTTATACTACAAAGCTACAATGACAAAAAGAGACATGTAGATTTATAGAACAGAATATACGATGTAGAAACATCTCCGAGCACATTCAGCAATCTGATAAGTGACAAAAGGGCCAAAATCATACGCTAGAGAAAAGACAGCCTCTTTAACAAATGGTGCTAGAAATATTGGTTATCCACATACAGAAGATTTAATTTAGACCAACATCTCTCATCTTACAAGAAGATAAAAATGGATCAAAGACCTAGATATTAAAACAGAAACAATCTGCTGGAAGATAAAATGGGTAAAACTTTTGAAGACATAGGCATAGGCAAGGACTTACTGAACAGAACCCCAATTACAAAAGAATTAACACCAAGAATCAACAAATGGGATTATATCACATTATAAAGCTCCTGCACAACAAAGAAAACCACCAAAACACTGAAGAGACAACCTACAGAATGGAAAAAATTTTTGTCAGCTACTCTTCCAACAGAGTACTATATCTAGAATATATAAAGAACTCAAAAAAATTAGACCTCCCCAAAATAAGACCCAATCAAAAAATGGGTAATTGAAATGACTAGACACTTCTTAGAAGTTTAAATGGTCAATAAGTACATGAAAAAATGTTCAACATTTTTGGCCATTAGGGAAATATAAATTAAAACAATGCCAACATTCTATCTTATTTCAGAATGAGTGACTATGATCAAGAACTTGGAAAACAACAAATGCTGGTGAGGCTGGCAGGAAAAAGGAACCCTTCTATGTTGTTGGTGGGAATGTAAACTAGTATAACCACTGTAGAAATCAGTATGGAGATTCCTCAAAAACTAAAAATAGTAATTCCATTGAACCTAGCTATTCCACTTATGGATCTTCCTGCAAGAGTTAAAGACATCATATTATAGTGACACATGCATACTCATGTTTATAGTAGCATGATTAATACCTAAATCTTGGAAATAGCCTATCTGCCTGTCAATAAATGAATGGATTTAAAATGTGTTATATGTACATAATGGAGTACTTCTCAGCCAAAAAGGATAAATTTGAGTCATTTGACAATGGATGCACCTGAGACCACAGTACTAAGTGAAATCAATGAGACACAGAAGGTTAAATATCACATGGTTTTCCTTATATGGGAAACAGGAAGTATAAATAAAGAGCAAACTAAAAGATAATAGGAGGGCTGGGGATTTAGCTCAGTGGTTCTGCCGCCTGCCTCACAAGCACAAGGTCCCGAGTTCGATCCCCTGTACCAAAAAATAAAAAACAAAAAGTAGTAGGAAACAGGGAGGTAGTCCTTTTGCAGATAGGAAGGGGATCTAGAGATGGAGGGAGAGAGGAGGAAGGAGTGACGAAGGGGAAGTAAAAAGGATTAAGATGTGACATGTACATGTACCAACTTCCCATGATGAATGTATTATGTATCACAAACATGTACTGATATCTAATATGTATAACTTTAATTGATGTATAACAAATACACATACAGCTATCATTCCTTCTTAAAGCTATTCAAGCAATGGCATTATATGGTTTTTTTATAATATTACATAAACTTGTTTCCTGGAGATCCTCCTCCTTTAATTTTTCACATCGATGTGAACTGGAATATAGGTGTTGTCAAAACTCCTCCTCAGCAACACAGATGAATCCATTCCCACTTTCCAACAGGTATAAATAAGAATTTAACTTTCCCCATTTCAATGAGACAAATTAAAAGAAAAATTCCTAAAAATGCTCTGCAGTAAGGAGACTACTACCCATTCTGGGGTATGTCCCCCTGTTTTGGGGCACTTGACTTCTTAGACCAGAAGTGATACCCCATAGCCAACATTTTTTAAATAATTTAAAAATTTTCCCCCTACTTTTCTGCCTTCTAGATCAGCTTTAATCAGAAGAACTCAAATAATTATTTTTATTAACATTTTATTATGGAAAGTGTTAAACATACAAAAGTACACATGAACATATATAATGAACCCTCATTTAACCATCATACAACTTCAACAATCTTAAAGTCAATCTTGTTACAATATCCCCAAAGTACTCAATATCTAGACTTAATATATTGAAACAATTCCAAGACATCGTATCATTTCAATTATAAGTATTTGAACTTAAATAAGAAGTGGTTTCCAACATAACCACAATATTATCACAACTAATATCGAATATCCAGTCAATGTCCAAATTACCCTAATTGTCTTATAAACAAATTCACTTTACATTTTGGCCAAGTCAGGATGCAAATTAGATCCATGTAGTGTGAATATGTTAAGTTTCTTTCAATCTATAGGTTCATTCTCCATTTCATTCATTCTTGCAATTTATATTCTGAAGAAATTGGGTCATTTGTCCTGTAGAGATTTCTGAAGTCAGAATTCTGTTGATGTCATCATCTCATCTCTGTGGTGTACAGTAATACATTTCTCTGTCCTCTGTAGTTTTTATAGATTAGGAATTGTCTAGAGACATGGTCAAATTTAAGTTCAAAATTTTGGCAAATATATTTCAAAGATCATTAGTATATTGCCATCAGAAGCACATTATCTAGGATGGCACAGACATATGAGTAAGAATTTTTGCTAATATGTCACAGCTGCCTTGAAACAGTTATGTGATACCTGATATCCAAAAGCCACATAATATGCTAGATTGTTGAGGAGGAGGTGTTACCACCCAATGTCATTACAAAATGTTATTTAAACAAATCTTCAGTGAGGACTACCATATTTCAAGTGATGTCTTGATACACACATACACACACACACACACACACACACACACACAGGCATACACTGGAAGCAAGTTCCTTGCAATCAAGGTCATATCTGGTGGAAAAAAGATAAATAATCTTAAAAGCACAAAAAGGCCACAGGTGCCAAATAGAATTCTATACAGATACAGTGGTAATACAACAACCTGGAAAATGAAGTCACTGTAATAACAGGAAAAACATGTCCGAAAGCATAGAATGAGCTGTGTCGTTGGGGATGTGAGAGCTCACCTGTGCTTCAAATTTCCATTCATCATTGGGTTCACATACTTGATTCTTTCAAAGTAAATCTGAACAACATCTATGCCATTCACCTAAAAAAAGATAATCTTATTAATAGGGTGTTACTGGTTTATCAGTTCCTCTAGTCAACAAATATATATTGAGGATCTACTACGGTTTATCAACCACTCTGTATTAGAAAAGACTTCAGAGAATCATCCAGTGCAGTTCCGCTATGAGGGAAGATGAGAATCTGAGGGAAAAAGATTGTTCCAGGTACATTATAAAGCTGAGAAATAAGGAATACATGGCATTTCTAATCCATGGTTCAATGGCAAATGTCTCCAAATTTCAGCTACTATTTTATGCTCCGAGCTACTGTTCTATGGGGAGGAGTCAGGTTCAGTTTTAATATCCAGAGAGTTCACATTCTAATAGGCCAGTAGTCAGTCAAAAAGACAATTACAATACTAGGATGATGACAAAAACATTTGCTTTTCAAAGTTCTTCCACAAAAAGGAATTCTTAAAAATGAAGCCCTGGGCAGCTGTATTACTCACTCTAAAACAGCATTTTCACCTCTCTTTCCAAATTAACAACTATGGAGGGAGGAACTGTTCTTTCTTAGAACAGTACTCCATTTAAAGGTAATAGAGAGAAGGAACAGTTCTAGCTTCAGACCCCTTTTAAAACATCTACCCAAGAAGGGCCACTGACATTGCTGTTACTTCACAAGCTGCCTTTTTCTACTCTTATACACACTTCAGGTTTTACTGATATTTCTAGTAGAAAAGAAATGTTGAACTCTTCACAAAAATTCTGTCATATAAAACCATGCAAAAGAATTCTTTAGTCACTTCTCATCCTTTATTTAGGTTTCTCAGAAAATACAACACACAAATTTTTATCTAGCATATCAAAATTCCCTTTGCTCTATGTCTTCTTCAAAAAAGTTTTTAAGTGTAGGCACTTATCCACTGAGGGAAAAATCAGCCCTTTAAAAATGTGCTGAAAACAAATTTCTACTTCATGCCTGAAAGTCTCATCATTTTTTAAATTAATTTTATTGGTACATTTTATTGGTACATTTTAGGTATACAAGTTGTTTACATTTATCATTGGGTGCTTGTACCTGTACATGATGTATCTTGGTTCTTATTTTTTTCCCCATTACCTGTGCGCCCTTCATCCCCTCCGCCCTTCCTTATTTACATAGATTTCATTTCCATTTTTTTTCTCTTTTCTCATAGTTTTTCCTTTTCCTCTTTTCCATTTCCCTTCCCCTCCCTTCACTCCTTTGTCTTTGGACATTTTTTCCTATTTCAAATTATCAATTATTCATTTTAATCATTTTAACTCTTGTTTACACTATCAGTTTCTCAAACTAGAGAATCTATTCGGTATTTACACGTGTGTCCTATTTATTTCACTTAAGAGTATGGCCTCGATATGCATCCATTTAGCTATAAATGACTCTAGTTTTTCATTCTTTATGGCTGAGTAGTACTCCATTTTATAAAAAGAACACATTTTCTTTATCCAGTTT